ATGCACAACCCGTGGGTATGAACTATGGGTGTGGAGAAATGCTGGTGGGAGGGGTGTTGCAGGGTAGAAGGGAATAAAGGGGAGAAAAAAAATGGGACAACTATAATACCATGATCAATAAAATATATAAAAATAAATAAATAAACCTATGTAATCCAATTGCAACTAGATTCTCACTGCCATTCTTCCTGCCTCACAGGTTTAATGCCTTTCAATCTTCTTAATCACACAATCCCTTTCCACTTGTTTTCAACCATCAAATCCTATCAAATTCCCCTTTGTCATTTCTCCCACATCTTCATCTTCTTTTCCATTCAGAGGTCCAAATCTCTGGTACATTAGTTATGTCATGAGACTAAATGGTCTTGAACCTATTCTAGTCTCTTTTCTCATCTACCCTGAATTCCATCGTGAGACTGGTCTTCCTTGAGTCAAAGTCTTCCTAAAAGAGATTCTGGATCATGTCTTTTTCAGAATCCCTTCAACTGTTCCTCATGGCCATAGGACAAGGACAGCGTTGACACATAAGGCTCTCTGCTCTTGTCCAAAGCTATTTTAAATTCCTGCTACTTCCCAACACCAGCTTTCTGCCCAGGCCAAATTTCCCACAAGCCCTTCCCTTACGAGCACCTGCCAGCCTACCCACAAACATCCTCCCCTTCCTATCTGCCAGATGAGATCCTCCTGCCCCTGTGTCAAGGCTTCAGTCCTGTGCCCTAGGAAGCCTGCCCGGACCAGCCCAGCCTTTAAGACCCCTCTGGCTTCTCAACACCCAGTGCCCTCTCACTGGACTCAAAGCTAATTGCCCTCTCCTAGTACATTCTAATAACTTGAACATAAGGACTGTCTTCAAATGACTTACAATAATAAGCACAGTGTTTTGACTGACACAAAGTGTCAATTATTTATTTTAAAATATTAGAAATGTTGAGCAAAGATTCTTCTCTGAAGCCTTATCACTCTCCTAACCAGTGTTCTTTGGGGACCTCTCACCACAGAACACCAGATACGCCCACCCTTCTAGCATTTTAGAGCCAAACTTAACACACATGTATTTGGCCACTGATACAATTATTTAGCAGGGGAGGTCCAAGCTGGAGGAGTGTCTGACCACCTGTGACTGCTGGAGATAGCAGCACTATTAAAGGATTCAAAAGGGCTTTCCAGAGGGGAAGACTTGGGTTGAAGAAAGACTTAAATTTAGTTGCTTCCTGAATGTGTTTTCCTAATCAACAGGTCTTTTATACCACCCCTCCCCTCCCCTCTTCAGTTAGCGAGGGTACTGCCAAGAGGAGGGGTACGAGCAACCAGACAGCGATGGCGTAGAAAGCGCCCACACCACGAGCATGCAGCCAGTGCACGGAGCACTGGCAGCCAGTCCTCAGAACTCTAAAACCCCAGCCAGCACCAAATGGGAAGTAAACATCTTGTTCTTCTTTTGCCTCTCTGAGGATCAGTAGAAAAAATGGTGGGATTCTAGGACATGAATGCCACAAGGCTGGACTGAGGAGCTATCCAAGCCACTTTCCAGAACTGCTGATGTAAGCTGGCCCATTTCTGAAGGAATACTAAAGAAAAAAGACTGGAGTCTATTTTGCCATTAAACTGCCCTTTTCATACTATATTCTTTTTTCTCATTAACTTAACAACATTCAGAAGAGGAAAAGAAATGGGTTAAAGTTTTTAAGAGTCTTTAATTCTGTGGGCCTCAATGTCCTCATCTGTAAAATGAGAAAATTACACTAAGTAATCAAATAACCCAACACTAACATTTTATGAACCTAGGTTGTTTCCTCACATATTCCAAACAGTTTGCCTTATTCTGATCCTAACATCTGGATAGTAGATGCAACTGGAAAAGTGTCCCCAGCTTTGCACTATTTGAATAACACTCAGTAAAATCTGCTTTGAGGCTAATGCCGTGGAGCTGGAGCCGAGGTACAAATCACATGTAGAAGAAGCTGCACAGCAAGAGAACTGCTTGCTGGCTCCATTGCCAGCATAGACCCTGCTGGGCAAACGGGCTCCATTTCCACTTCTCAGGACTATTGGGAACAAAGAGAAACACCGGATGGCATGAGGCTGTGGGGCCTCTGGCACCTCAAAACCATGTACCAGTGGAGTACAACTGGTCACTACACACCACAAGCTGCCACACCTGCGTTCTTATCAAGGACCAGTACACGTGGTTATGTTTCTAATTGGCAGTTCTGGAAAAACACTTTCATATGAGAGGAGGTACTTTTTACTCCTGTCATTAAATTAATGAAGTGTGTGAAGATCAAGTTGGGGAGGTGGAGTGTGCAGCAGGAGGAATTCCTTACCTCTTCCTCCATCTCCTTCAGCAACGTCTTCCTGAGCTCTTGCAGACCTGTGACTTTCCTGACTCTCAGTTATTCTCTCCCTGTTAAGCCACTTCACTCCACGGCAGGCTACCACATCCCCCGGCTCAGGAATTTCAGGGAAATCATACTGTGTGACCAATCACCTCAGCCAGAGGGCTACCAGTCGAGGCAGTAAAAGGGAGTAGTCAGAGGTAGATGAATGGTAGGGTCGGAAGCACCCCCAGACCTGCTGGAGGACAGCTGCCTTGGAAAAGCTTAAAACCTGGCCGCTTAAGTCAAGGCCTCACTCTGAACCACATACACTGTTTGCCTTTACACAGATGGTAAAAATCAAAATTACGGTTCAGTGGGATACATTCAGTGCCACATAAGAAAACTACCTTAGTAAAGAGTTATGCCTGCAAAAGTCTGCAAGTAAAAGATGGAAACAATTTAGGAGTCTTTCGTAGCTTGACAGTCTGCTTATTCTTTTCACAAAGAGCATGGTCAAGCTTCTATACTCAGCAAAACCAAATGAAATAGAGCCCTACTGCTGCCTACAAAAAGTCATGACAAATCTGATTTTCCTCCAAATGTAACTAAGCTGTCTCCATAACTCTCCCCATTTCCACTATCAGCATTCAAAATTTATTATCTTAGCCTTAGTCCTGTAGTTCAGTTGGTTGGAGTGTTGTCCCAATATGCCAAGGTTGTGGGTTCGATCCCCAGTAAGGGCACATAGAAGAATCAACCAATGAATGCATAAATAAGAGTAAACAAGTCAATGTTTCTCTCTAAAATTAAAAAGAAATAGCAAGTAAAAAAATTTATATTCTAGGCCCTGGCTGGTGTAGCTCAGTGGATTGAGCACTGGCCTGCGAACCATAGGATCGAGGTTCAATTCCCAGTCTGGGCACATGCCTGGGTTGCAGGCCAGTTCCCTGCAGGCCAATTCCCAGCAGGGGACACACAAAAGGCAACCATACACTGATGTTTCTCTCCCTCTCTCCTTCCCCTCTATAAATAAATAAATAAATAAATAAATAAATAAATAAATATATTTTTTAAATTTTATATTCTAAAACTTCAAACCAAAATGAACATTACACTCAGCTTCTTCTCTACCTTATTAAAATTATGATTCCCCTTTTAGCTTCAGATCATTCAATAACAATGGTTTCAAAACTGTATTCCAAGAAGCCTAGTTAGACTGTGGTTTAGGACAAAAGGACAGGGATGAGGCAGACTACCTTTTCCACAGCTGCTTTTACCTGCCTCAAATGCTGCACATTTGAAAATTGTAACGTGGAAGAAAAAAGAAACCCTTCAAAATCACTGCGGTAACAGACCAGGCCAACGACGTCCAGCCCGTGCGCTGCGAGCGTGTGACGCACTCCCTGACTCCTGCACTCTGCCCCACGCGTGAGGAGCTCCCGCGCACAGTGCACACCCACGTTTCTGGTCCAAACTTTCAGGGAACAAAGCGTTCGTTTCAATTTTTTAAATTTAATTACGTATTTATATCTGGATACTTGTTTTTTGTATTGTAAAGAAATTTTAGCATTTTTGAACATATCATGATACAAGAACTTTTTTTGTTTTAAAGCTTTTATTTATTTTTAGAGAAAGGGGAAGAGAGGGAGAAAATGGGGGAGTGAAACATCAATGTGTGGTTGCCTCTACTGTACCCCTTACTGGGGACCTGGCCTGCAACCCAGGCATGTGCCCTGACTGGGAATTGAACTGGCGATGCTTTGGCTCTCAGGCCCATGCTCAATCCACTGAGCCACACCAGCCAGGGCTCTTGAACTTTTATGTAACAAATAATTACAAAACATAAGAACAGATACAAGGTATTTAAGGTACTAACCATGTATAATGCACATCCCTATTTTTCTCTCAAAAATTTGGGCAAAAAGTGCACATTTTGCACAGCAAAATACAAGTACTTAGTCAGGACCACTGACCTCTTTTCCCATAGAGTGTCGAATTAAAAAATGGCAACAGCCAATTCAACAGGTGTCTGGTGTGAGTGAATCACAATTATAACTATTTGTCAGATTGGCAAAAAACATGCTTTTTGGTGTGCCACATAATTTTAGTAATTAGTGTATGTGTGCCATGGGATGAAAAAGGGTGAAAATCACTAGACCAGACTATCATATACAGTGACTCACATAACTACCAAGGCACAGTTTTGGTACATGAGAATTTCAACGAGCCAACCTTCAATGACCTGGGCCAGCAGGAGATGAAAACAGTGTAGTACACAAATGTAATTTATCGAAACCCTAATTTTAGCCCATGGTTTCAAGCATCCATCTCCCAACTGCTTTTTAACCCCAGCAAGCAATTAGTAAAACAGAGCTGAACTTCTGCTAAAATGTACAGGCAGTGAGAGCGGGGCCAAAGTGAAAACAGATTTATGAGAATCGTAACGTACTAAATGAACAGCAGACCAGACCCTGCCAGATGCCAGATATAAATGGACATGCAGAGAAATCAACTCCCCCACAATGGTAGGGAATTACGGTATGCAGTAGTGGCCATAACCCCCCATAAGCCACTTCAGTTAGTTCCTACTACAAGATTCTGACTCCAAGTCTGCATCATCTGTTTCAAGAATGACAGGAAGGGAAGAGCAGTCAGGGAGCTGTGAGGCCTCGTGCAACTCACCCGTGCAGAACTCCTTGCTCACATTGTGGGGCACTGTGATCCGTCGGTAGACAATGGGCTCTGACTCCAGGATGTTCTCATCGTGGCGGTACCGAGCAGGCCTTTCATTTGGGATGCCCCGGGAACGGGTACCACTTCTCCTCTCATAGGTGTCAATCTCCTCAAACACAGCTGCCTTGTCAAACAGGGCTAGGTTCCCTTCGAAATCAAAATCTGTGTCTGGGATCTCTTCAATATCGTCCCCGAAGCACTCGTCATCTTTATTCTTCATTTGGCCATTCTTTAAACCACTTTTCTTTGGAGTTGCCTGATTTGGATGCCTGCTACTAGATGACCCTGGAGAAAAATAGGGACTACAGTCAGTGTGCCCATAGAAAGTGCTCAGCGGAAGTAAATGCATTAATCCTTTAGGCACAGGTGGCAAACACATGGCCCTCCACCTTGTTTCTACCCGGTGGCAGCGCCCAAGCTCTTGCTTAACTGTTAAGGAGCAGTTACACTTATACAGTCCTAACATCACATTCGGCCCTTTGAAGGCAACTGCAAGGGCAATGTGGTCCCCAGTGAAAATGAGTTTGACAGCCCTGCTTTATGGGGAGTGCTATAGGAATCAAAGTGAAGATGGGAAGCTATTCCTCAACCATATTACGTAGCACAAATTACCACAAATTCCCTAGAATAATAGATTTCATATGTTACCCAAGTAATAGTGAATATATAAAATAAGCAGCACTCTTGGAAATCTTAATCAGTTTTGCCCTTCATAAGGAAACTGGTAATGACAGAGGCTTTTTTGACAAATGAATATTAAAAAAGTAAAAGGGCAAAAATACAGTAGTCTCTTCCCTGAGGTTTGTGTGGTTTCATTCTGAATGTCTGGCAGTTGTTTAAGAGAGAAATACTCTAATGTAAAAGGCCAATTCTCATAACCTGAAGCTCTTAGGAAGACACTATTCAACTGGCTCTTAATTCTATGTTTACCGAGCAAGCAACCTTCTGATTTTTATTTAGTATCAGACTAGAGCCCAGTCGGAGGGAATCCCTGGTTTAGACAGACTGCAGATTCTGAGCCAGATACACACCTTCCATTATAAATTGGTATTTTGATTTCTAAATCTGTCCTTAGGTCTTTCAGCTAATGTGATCTCTTTTCTCAGAATTTTATCACTTCTGGGTAAATAATTTATGAACCATCAAATAATGACAAGGACCATACTGGCCTGACCTGTGGAGGCCACACCAAGATACACATCAGCAACAGGGTAACCAGCCTCCCTTGGTCTCTGAGACTCTATCTGGCTGCCACACACCGGTCAACTACTCCCTAATAACCAAGGCATAAGACCTCACAGAATTCTCCAAACCATCCATTCCCAGAGAATCCTGAATTGAGTTTCTACTCTCATCTCTATCTGACTACCCGACAGGTGGACCAGGTGACTGCTATGCCAAACGGAGCTTCCAACATGGTCTAAATGAATGTAAGGTACTGCCTTTGAGAGATTGAGCTCCTCAATTACTGAAAATACTCAAGTAGAGGTTAGGATGGCCACAAGCGAACCCCCTCACACATCATCCCAACTATCCTGCTCTAACTCTTCTTGCAACAACTCCCTTCTACCCAATGGACCTAGGATCTGGTTTCAGTTCTCTCAGTAACCTGATATACCTGTCATCTTACACCCGTCATCCAGCCTCTCAGTTCCCTGGTCCATAAATGTTCACTGTGGTATTCCCAGCAGAGTTTCTGGCACGTAGCATTCAGTTAGTACTCATTTAATGAATTAATCAACACCAGCAAGGTTAATAATTACTCTGAAAGATGTGCACTACGCAAATATAACTTCTGTCCTAGTCTTCCTAATTCCAAGTACTGGTATGAAGGGCCGTGGATGACAGAAGATTTAGGCCTCGGAAAAAAACTAAGGCTAACCAAAATTATGAGGGGGAAGAAGAGCTGGCTGAGTCGCCACAAAGAGCTCAGATTAAAGCACCGGGAATTTTGTCAGTGTCTGGGTTGAGTTCTAATTCCAATAATTTAATAAAAGTATTTAGTGAGAGCATGCTGTGTGCCACAGCTGGGTGCTGGGAATGTAGCATATAATCAAGACAAGCTACTCAAAAAGGGAGGAGAGGTATATAAGCAAATTCCTAAAATACAATGTGATGAGTTACAACAGAAGCTTGTATAAAGCGCCATAGAAATATGGATGACACGGGGGGGGGGGGGCTGGGATGGGAGTAAAAGACAGAATACTGTAGTTGAAAAATAATTTTAAAAAAAATAAAGAAAGAAAGAAAGAAAGAGAGAAAGAAAGAAACATAGATGAAAAAGCAAAGCTAGATTAGGAAACAGGACAGCAGGCATGAAAACACAAAGTCAGGATGACACCATTAGCACATATGTTGGCAGGGGAGGAACTAGAGAAAAGTCCAGTTTGCAAAATTATCAATGCGCTGCCTGAGAATTCAATCAAACCATTCTAAAACAGGCCTCTAGCCCAGTGGTCTCTCTGCAGTGGGTACGTGCATACCCAGGAGTGCATAGGTTGGTCCACTGGGAGCAGGAGACGACACTATATAATCTATTTGCATTTTCTTTTAACTAAATCTAGTAAAAAGTCGAGCTTTTCATTTAATTTTAATGCGTGGGTGGTGACTGGCACTCCGATGAGGTTTCATGCCAGCTGACCATTTCCAGTGCTTGAGATATCTGAGCAAAGAGTGATGCTCTACCTGTACATGTGCAGGTACAGTCACATCATTTTTGTGTGTGTGGTGAAATACATGTAACAAAATTTATCACCATTTTAAGCATTTTAAGTGTATAGTTCAGTGGTATTAAGTGCATTCACACTGTTGTACAACTACACAAATTTTTAACTAAAGCATACAAAAAATAAGCAAATGGCTTAAAAACATTTCTATAAAGAAACTATGTACTAAACATAATACTAATTATGCGGTCCTCAGTGAACAAAAGAAGGGCAGAGCTAGCACTTTCCCCAGTGCTTTCATAGGCCTTCGTTAGCCAGCAGGAGGCTTTAAAACTAATCTATTCAAATTTAAAGAGATGAGCTCCCAAATTAAAAAGTATCAAGGTTATTCCAAACATGAATTTATTTGAACTACTACTGATGAACTTTGCCCCAAGTGTAAATGTACATCAGCTCTGGGGCCGAGTCCTGCCCAACGGCTGCTTCTATTCATCAAGTTTTATTGTTTACTTGTTTACTTACTGTCTAAGGCTGCTTTTGGGCTACAAAGGCAAAGTTAAGTATTGGAGACAGAGACCTTATGGCCTGCAAAGCCTCAGATACTTAAAATCTGACCCTTATAGGAAGTTTGCTCACCCTGCTGTGCATTGTACCTCTTGAGGTACTCTTTCTAGCTATGACTGCCATTAAAATAAAAATTTTAATTAGCTGGACCTGTTACCAGGTCTTTGAATATCTGCTTCATTCAAAGTGTTAAGTATGTCACTTATTAAACTACTGTCTTGGAACTCCACACTCACCCTTTGTGATGTGGGTCTGTAACTCTACAATTACCTTTTTCCTTCCCTAGCTGGCTTCCTGTTAGGTTCCACCACCAGCAGTAGGTGCCTGAAGAGACTGGAAGGAAGGAGGAAGGAGGAAGGAGGAGGAAGGAGGAAGGAGGAAGGAAGAAGGGACCTTTTCCTCCTTTGCTTGTTGTTTGCATCAGCACTGCCTGGCAGCTGGTTCCAGTCTTCAGCTATTCTTTCAGACTAGTGTAGACACAGGTGCTTCATTGCACCCCTCAGAAGAGCTGGCACCAGCTCTGTGAAGCCCCTTTTCTGAACTTTGAGGTTCTGGTAACCCGAGCCTCTTCCCTTTGTTTCCCCTTCCTCAATGACTCTTTGTTTTTTCAATCTTCCAACACTTACTAAACTAATGCCCTATATTACTTTTTCTGAAAGAAACTAGTCGTTACTACATTCCTTAGTGATGTACCAATATTTCAAAAATTAACAACTCACAGTTAATTCCTCTGTTCTAAAAAAAAAAAAATTCCTCTGTTCTAACCAAATAATGTTTAGTAAGAAAAAATATTTTAAAATATTTGAATAAAATATTGCTGTATAAGTAGTTCATGTTTATTCAATCCTTTTTAATTTGTATAGGTGAAGACCTTTTTGAACTACAGACACACAGATATACAGAGAAATAGAGCAGATAGCTTCAGTTCTAAAATCTCAGACAGGGTAGAGAATAAACACAGACATACAAACACCAGTCCAGATATCAAAGAGCTTATCTTCTCCCAGTGGGCATAAAAATCTTAACTGATTTGAGCATAAAGTAGACAAATAACCAGAAAAGATTTTAAAAAGACTAACAAAGCCAAGTTCACAGGCAATGCTGATGCTGTGCGGTGAAGTGCAAATTTGAAGAGGAACTCTCATATTTGTCTTTGTAACTTAATTATTGCTTGTAACTTTTATAAAAAGCATATATTTCTTTAGTAACCCAAATCTAAATTCAAATAATTGAAGAAAAAAGGTTGACAAAGCAAATTCTCTGTTGTCACCCACCCAACAGAGATTAGCTATGTAGAAACATTAATCTCTATAGAAATCAACCGATGTTGAAACTATAAAGCCGAACTCCCATTGCTGCTACCAACAAGGAACAGCTGAGCTCTAAACAATCCAAAAACAAAGTAAAACTGCAAAATCAGTAGAAAGGGAAAATACCAAAGAAACAGAAAGTCAGCCAAGTTCTACTGGTGTTTTGGATTCACTCCTGGGGGGGCAAAAAAAGATGCACCTGGGGTCCGCCCCATCTGCTCGTGACACATGCATCACTGGTTGTTTTCTAGCAGGTTTACTGAGGTGTAACTGGGGTAAGAAAACCTGCACATACTATATGTATCCACTGAGGTATGACTAGTATGCAAAAACCTGCAAATGCTAGTTTTTCAAGAAGCAAAAAATACTGTGAACCACTGAACCATATTTTAAACCAGTAAAATATTACTGTAATATAGTTCATGTTTATCTAATCCTTTTAAATTTGCACTTTTGTCTCATATCTAATGTATAATAGGTAGAGAATATATATTAATAAACTGATGGTCCAATGAAGAGTTCTTATCAATGTCACAGAAATAGGTAAATTCTAAAGGAGGAAGTGCAAGAAACCTAATGAAATGTTATCAATATTATGAGTCAAATACTTCATGCTTATTTTAAAAGGCATTATGTAGGCCAAAGCATAATTCCTTTGAAGCTGAATAGAGTTTATTCTGAAGAAAGGAATAGGGGTGGTCTACATGAGTCTCTTCATGTCAGCCAACTGCCTTTACAATCACAC